TGAAGAGTCAGAAAGGGAAAGAGAGGAAGCCATTGGAGCCCCGAGCCCACAGACTAACCTCAACTTGTGTCCACAGTTGACTGTTGTTATAGTAAACCCAGGAATCCATATCCGAAGAGGCTCTATGCCTCACTTGTGACAACTAGGAATTTCTTTTGTGGTTGTTCTTTTTCTAGGGAAGGTGGACAGTGCACAGGACAGTGCATCGAAGGACAATCAGGCTTGCCCATCTCTGTAACTTTCAACCCTAACTTCCCTTTAGAGATTGCACAATGCTATGTTGAAATGGTTTCAACTGCTAGTTAGGACCTACACAGCTGGCTCTTGGGTTGGGTGCCCAACTCCATTCTGCAGCGACATTTGGCCAGATGCTAAAAAAGCTTCACTGGTCTCACATGAGAGAGTGCTGACAGCTTTGTGCCTCGGGTTTTATCAAGGACCAAGGGAGCAGGTGGAAAGCCCCACACTCCCTGATTCTATGCTCCCCCGCTTGACCACACCTGGATCATGTTGGGGTTTGTCATGCCTCTAGCTTGTTTGTTTTTATCTATGGATTCATGTGGGCAGTCATCATGCATTGCTTCCATGGCGACGTCTGCAGCCATGATGTTTTTTCCCAATGTTGATTCTCACTTGCTGTGGTGGGTATGTGGTTGTCAGCTTGGCTACATCTGGGAATTCACTAAAACCCCAAGCATCTGGGCACACTTGTGAGGAACGTTGAGTTAATTGGATCGTTTGTGGTGGGGAGACCCACCTTCAATCCCGACCACTCGAGGTCAGAAGACCCACCCTAAATCTGGACCACGCCTTCTCCTGGCAACCTGTATAAAGGACGAGGATGAAAGCAGGGTTTGCCCTTTGCCTGCTTGCCTTCATTCTCACAGGCAAATGCACACATCCTGCTGTGGAGGCATTTTTTTTCACTGGAATTATAGTTTACTTCTATGAGATCCTGACATATACTGAATATCACCAGAGACATCCAGCCTGGTGGACCCAATAGCTACTGGATTCTTGGACCTTCTATTGGGAGACAAATTCACCTGCCATGGAGGTTTGGTGTTGGGGATTGAACCTAAGGTCTTGTCCGTGCTAGTAAAGCATGCTACACACACAGCTACATCCCTAGGCCTAGAGTCTTTCCTTTAATGGTTGAATTACTGCTTATTCTGGTCATAAGACTAGAACAAAGAGGTATAGAGATAGCTTGCCAGTCACAAGCACTTGCTGCTTTTGCAAAGGATCCAGGTTTGGTTCCCAGCATCTACATCATAGTTCATAACCATCTGAAACTCCATTTTCAGGGGACATGATACCCTTTTCTTGTATCTACAGGCACTGTGCACATATGATGCACCTACATACATGCAGGCAAGCACTCATACACATAAAATAAAATTAAGTAAAATACTTTTTAAAATAGAACAAAGGAAGAGCTGCTGTGGGAGAATTCTTCTGTACACTGTAAAGATTTGTCACTCATATTGGTTTAATAAAATGCTGATTGGCCAGTAGCCAGGCAGGAAGTATAGGCAGGGCAACCAGACTAAGAGAATTCAGGGGAAGAGAAAGGCAGAGACACAGTCGCAAGCCAGACATAGAGGAAGCAAGATGAGAATGCCTCATTGAGGAAAGGAAATGAGAGACTGCGGATTCATTCTGAGTTATGAAAAATAAGGTTTGATTAAGGAAGACCTCCCGAAAAATCTCTAGTGGCAATGGATGGTCCAGATGAGTCAACATTTCAGAACACTTCTGTTGTAGTTTCCTCTGAGTTCTACATCCAGAACAGCTTCAAGACTGCTGACTGAGATGACTCAGCCTCACAGAAAACTCCAGTCAGGACTTGACCATATCCCAAAATTTCCTTGGGTCCCCATAAGATTGCCAGCACCCCAATGAGCAGGAAGTCGCATAGAAAACCACATCCACATTCCCAAAGATGGATTATGGATGTTTGTCTTTGTTTGGAGTGTGGGCTACAAGTTCATATGGATAATGGTTAGAAAATCTAAACAAAGGAGATTAGATTCTGAGATCTTGTTTTGAAAAGAAAAAAGTGGAAAATGCTGTGGGAGAATACTTTTGTACCCTGTAAAGATTTGTCACTTGTATTGGTTTAATAAAATACTGATTGGTCAGTAGCCAGGCAGGAAGTATAGGCAGGGTGACCAGACTAGGAGAATTCAGGAAAGAGGAGAGGTGCCAAGCCATGTGGCTAAACATAGATAAGAATTATGGGTTAATTTATGTTGTAAAAGCTAGTTAATAATAATCCTGAGCTAATAGGTCAAACAGTTTTTAATTACTATAAGCCTCTGTGTGTTTCTTTGGGACTGGATGGTTGTAGGACCAGGCAGGACACAAACTTCTGTTTACAAAAAGCAAAGGGAAAGAAATCCGTGCAAATAGCTTCCCGGAGTAATTTTGTTTTAAGTATAAATGTTGCATATTTGAACTTGACAATTTTGTTAGAGCCATGTTCAAAATGGGGTCTCTCCTACAACAAAGGAATGACCTCTGAGATCATACAACAAATTTCTTCTTCTTCTTCTTCTTCTTCTTCTTCTTCTTCTTCTTCTTCTT